TGTAAAATGTAGTGCTTTTATTCATAGTGTGGTGTTCTCTTTCCTCTCTCTGGGGGGGGGGGGGGGGGGGGGGGGGTCAGCGGGGGGCACAGGTGCATTCACACTATAAAATAAAAAGTGACATAAGGTTACTACACTTTGCCCAAAGCCACTGCTCACCTGCAGGCAGTCAGCAAGTAGTTAACAAAAACCCTTACATTTTTTTTTTTAAATTCTCAATACGGTATTTTTTTTTAATACTGTTGTCAGAGTAGTACAATATTACCATAGTAACATTGTACTACTCTGGGGGGGGGGGGGGAATCAGGGTTTTTGTTTCACTTTGCTTTGTAGGAGCAATAAAGGTTATTACAGTTCAGTTCATGACAGTTCAAAATAATAGTGATTGGCTGGAGCTAGTCACATGGTACAGGGTGCTGTGATTGGCCCCATGTATCATGTGAGGGCTGTGGGAAAATCACAGCTCACCAGGAAGAGAAGCAGAGATGTTATGAATCAGATTGATTCATAACAGCTTTGCTAACATTATGATCGTGTGATTGCATTGCGATCACAGGATCACAGGGTTCTTCATTCCGCTCTGTCCAGTGAACACTGCGGTCACAGGTAGGGAGCTCTGCATGCCCACTCGAGTTTAAAGCGCCCCTCTGTGTTAGTACAGCCAGAGCGACGTACCCATATGCCATTTTGCTTGTAGCTGCCGCCTGTCTGCAATACATTGCGGTAGGGTGGGCGGCAAACGGTTATCCATCCTTTTTACATAAATAACCGCATAAAATCTGCTTATTAATATTTGGTTTATGCAACACTTACAACCTGAGTGTCCAGTAGACATGTGCTGAGGGAAATTTTCATTTAATTTCAGATGCTTCTGTTCATTGGAGAGTTTCGTTCTGTCATATTTTGTTATGTTGAATGAATTCTTTTCAGAATTTGTTTCGTATCTTCAGCATTCGTTTTGTATATTCGTTGGTTCAGGTGGATTTGAAAAATGTAGCAGTTTTTCCAGAAGACTGCTATATATTCAATATATTATCAAATCGCATGGATTTGCATTGGATGGATTCTATACTTTTGGACGCTAGTCCAACCCACCAAGAGAAATGACATGAGCTGATTAGACACTATTAGCATCATGTGCATCTGATTTTTAATGAATGGAATGAAATTCAGATCCATTCATTATCTGAATTATCAAACAAATTTGAAAGTTGAATTCATTTCCCCATGGGCCTGGACTACTATTGCATCAATTGACATCATCCAAAAGAAATGTATGAATGTGAGTTAGGGATCTTAGATTGTATGCTCCTTGAGGGTCAGGCACTGCTGTGAATGTACAATATATATATACATGTAAAGCACGTCATAAATTGATGGCGCTATATAAGTACCTGTAGTAATAATAATAATAATAACAATAACCAATGAAACAAATGCATTTGTTAATTTAGCTACAAATTTTTTTGGGATTTGTAGACATTGATACTATGGTGTCCGTTTATGAACCAGCACTAATAGATCGCTGCTCAGTTCTCCGGCATTCTCGGAGAACACAGTTCTCCTGTGAATGCCGTTTATGAAGCATATGTAGATCAGTTCTCCAAACGGAGGGAGAAAGGTCTCCAAACGCTGGAAAACAGCTGATTTTACTATAATCTCGCGAGATTACAGTAAAAGATCAGTTTACTAAACAGAGGTAAATTATCTCTGCTTAGTTTGCGGTCCTTCTGATTCTCCAGCTCTGGGCTGGAGAATCTGGAGGGAGAACACACTTCTCCAGTGAAGGGCTGAACATGTTTTCCTGAGTGTTATAAACTGTGAATGACCAGAGAATAGCTGCGATCCTCTGAATCGCAGCTATTCTCTGTGTCATAAAAGGACACCTATGTCCATTCAGACATTCATATACATCCGAATCTCTGAAAAGGAAATGTCTAGTGGTCAGAAAGCACAACAGCAACTGGGTTTCCTTCACCATTTAAAACTAACTGATTTGCGGAACATAGAAGTATGCCTGGATGACAGTGGAGGTCTACTGAGGAACAAAAACGTTTAACTGCATGAAACCTGTGAAGGTACTCCTGCTTGATGATGAACTTTGAAGTCAGAAATTGTGTCGTTCATATTTCTATCAGAATAGGTTTCTTTCAAAGAGACCCTTCCAATCACCTAGAAAAACAGCTGAAAGCTCACTGCTATAGATGAGGTATTATGTCAGATGTCTATATCCCCTGCACACTGTAGTTCCATCCATCTAGCCCCTACTTCACTACAGGACAAAACAGTGACATAAGGTTTGATAGATGGAACCACAGTGTGTAGTTGTGGACATAGGCACCTGCCACTCCTGAAAATGTCCAATGCTGAAGAGTCTGAAGGAGGCTGCATAGCTGAAATTTAGCAAAGGTAGGAGATCTGGGAACTAAAGAGATAATTATACTGTAATACCTCACCTACAGCAGTGACCTTTTAGCTGTTTTTTAGGTAATTAAAAGTGTATATTTAAAGGAAACCTATGATAAAGTCTGTTGGAGGCTGCGGAGATGGAATGGAGCAAAGGTTGAAGATCCAGGCTGCCGGAGAGGTGTTCATAATACCACTTCTGTTGCAGGAAACTTTCATCTGGATGCTTTTTAAGTGACGGACTAGGTTGTTTTAAGGAAACACAAATAAGGAGATTTTAAATAATATTTAAATATTCAGAAAGCTGTTCAGCAACCTCTGAGGGGGGCTTCTTTTACTCAGTCTTGGATTAAGGGAGTAATTCTGACAGTTAGACTCAAAAGTAAGAAAAAAAAATCACGGAAACCAGATTTATAATTGCTTTTGTTTTTTGGCTTGTTGACAATAAAGAAGCCTTCTTGCAGTTTTCTTTGTTTTGACATTTTCAAAGATGTTTATGATTTCCCCCAACATGATGTCTGACACAATCTATGACATTTTAACATTTAATTTTACTTTCCCCGAGATTACATTATGAACTTGAAATTTCTTTTTTCTCTACCCTGGTCTCGATTTTTAATGATAAAGCAAGCCAGGATGAAAATACATAAGCAATTAAAATGTTTTCTCAGTTTTAATGTCACTGCTATGCGGTGCACAGCAGATAATGAAAATTATTAACCAAGATAGTAAAGATATATTTCCTATAGTGTTATAACGATGATGGCATAATTAAGTCAGAGGAAATGTTAATGAAATGTGAACATCCACCAAATAGGAGCAAATAACCATATGTTGGATGATCACAAAATGTACCATTTTATTGGCTGTGTGAAAATGCAGAGAAAACTACTAAAACAACTCATTGCGATGGTTAATTGTCTCATCATTGTGTTATTTTGTCAAATGTAGAGTATAAGGTCAAGTGAGTTCTGGACAAATCCCATCAGCTGCACAGCAATTACACATATAAATATTATGTTGCCCAATACCTGTTATAGCTCAATTGCGCTGCAAGGGTTAAATGTCCATTCAGGTCTAGGGAACATATAAAGCTGATTTACTTACCCAGTCCTCCACTCTAGCAACACAGAGGGCTTTTCCTATTTCCCTGGACATAAACTAATATTTAACCCTTGCAATGCTGGGTAGCCCCACTGCAAGGGAGGATCTTTATTTTCCCTGGAGTCCAGCTGAAAATTAAAGCAGTTTTTGCTGCAATACCAACCAACTCCAGCAATGTCCTCTTCAGAACCAAACCCTCTCCTGGTCCTGACCATCATCTCACCCACTTCATATGAGCCCAGAATGTCACCCCATGGGATGTCATCATTCAGTCTGGGTTCAGTACGCCTGGACTGAGTGGTGTTCAGTCCAGGAGGAAAGACCACCACCACTGAAGAAGAGGAAGGATCCATGATGTCACTGAACCTACATAAAGTCTGCAGGAAAATAAGGTATGTATAGAGTTTTTTTTTAATTACTCTTCTTTCCTCCTTCATTTATTTTTTTTCAGCATTTTTGGTTGCAAAAAGTGTTCTATATATTAAAAAACCTTTGGTTTTACAAAACCAAAGGTAAGCTGACAGTGTGTTTATAAAGGGATCTCAGTTAGACTTACATTACCAGTGGTCCTGCATTGTTCCTGCCTCTGCTGCCATCAGGTAGAATACCCGAAAATTCCAGGTATGGGGGAGCTAGTGACCTCCTCCCATTGTCAGTGCACAGGTTTAGTAGCCAATCACTAGGTCTCAGCACTGTCACATGATGGAGCTAGCCTCTGACTTAAAATGTAATTTTTTAAACTTTTTTTCCACAGGTGTATTTTCCACAGGTGCAGCTTTTAAGAATATTTATTGTGTTTTGATAAATCGATCAACTATCACAAGTATTTCTTGCTGTATACAACACATAGATGAATGTTAGGCAAGTATACATATAAGCATGGATGTATGTAAGCTGTAAAACAACCAACCAAGAAAGAGTTCAGGTACCTCCTAAGGAATTCAGGGGTCAGTAAACAGGTATCAGCTCTTATTACACTCTGTATCAGGTATTAACCTGAGGGAATTGTATATGGGAAAGTGTCATCTGTGGATGGATACACTTAGTACAAGAAGGGTCAAACTACCCATATGCAGTTGTTAAGATGCAAAGGAGAAATAAATAAAAGAGGATGAGGATGCATCTAACCAGCTACAGCTACTTCTTTTAAAGGTATTCTACACTTTCAAATGTTTTTAGTTTTAACTAGTTATTAGTGTTCTTATATTCCTTATGTTGCCGTATCTTATAATGATAGGTTCACATGTTGTGGCTGAAGTTTGAAGTGTCATAGCTGATTTATCCCCCTTTGTCTATGTATTCAGTCATCTAGCTTGTTCCTAGCAGTCAAAGGGACAGGCAACTTCTGGGTCATGCAGCGTCTAATCAATGCCTTGCCATTTCTCTGTGTTGCATTGTTGTTCCTGCTTGTGTCTGTGTTAGATTAAATTATTGCATCAGCGTGCCAGACTGAGAGACCCAGGGATTGTAAGATATATAGTTTTTCTTCACAGTAAGTGTTGTCACAATCATGCCCACAGGGAGAGGTGCGGTTCTCCATTTTGCCCCAAACTTGTACATTTTGGGTATTTCTCTTAAACTCCTATGCAAACACCTGGAGGTGTAGAATCGTGCATATATGAGCCAGGCAGAGGGTCTGGGCCTCCCTGTCGTAAGAGGTTTCATGTATCTCCTCATTCGCCTCCCTCAGGAATGCAAGCAGCATATGACGCTGCGCCTGCCTAACAATTCTTTTGCCAAATAAGGTATTGGTTTGGCCGTGATAGGAAAATTCCAGTTGGGTTTGTCTTAGATAAGAAGAGTTTTCTTCTTTTCTGGGCAGTCAGAGAAGTAGAACCGAAAGCAAAGTCTCCTGCGATGAATCAATGGAACAAGCAGCAGAGACAAGAAAGCAAATCATCCTGGAGCTCATGAAACTTGAAGCTGCTTAACCCCAGGCATTTATTTGGCAAGTACTTATTTACCTAAACCTCTCTCTGTTATCTCTTTGCTGTGCTGTTATGCTCTGTATATTTATATGTATATATATATCTTAGTTACATCTTCTCTGTAAATATTTTTATTGCACCTGTTTGACCCTTTTAGTAATAAATCTCTCTTTCTGAAAGTGTTCAACTGTTTCTATAGCTCTTAATTGCAATTTACGAATCCTTGCCTTTAAAGAGACGCTACTGTTTGTTTTAACCCTCTGTATAACAGGCCTGTTTTATGACCAGGTTATGCAGTCAATTATATCAACCATTATAGTGTTATAGCTGAACGCCGAGTTTCCTCTTTCTCTAATCAAAAAGGAGGTGGTGGCAGTGTGAAGGGGTTAATTGCGTAATTAACCTGACCCAGTAACAATAGCGTCCAGGCTGCAGGTACATAGATTGTAGTCCATTAGCTGGAAAATCTTTGTGCAGGGTGCAGCTGGGCTTGGTATTGTCACATCGCGGTTTTAGATCGGCCAGTCCTTTGGTCAAGAGTTTGGTGAGAGGGTCTGGGGTTTGACGCCGTGATTGTGACAAGTGTCTGTTCTTAGACTACATACAGAGATCATGTATTAAAGTGGTAGTAATCTACAAAAAAAAAAAGGGCCCATGCAGCATACATCACATACTAGACAATTATGACAGACTTGCGTTAAAACAAAGTCCTCCAGCGGCACACTATCACTGCTAACACTGCTGACACCTTCACCCAGTTTTCCTACCAGGTTTGCAGACTGTTTGAATGGCCTAGCCACGATGATGTTAACAATGAAGTCATAGCCGTGGCACAGCTCTCTCAATGGACTCCATTGAGAGCGCAGTGACGTCACCGGCTGCTACTAAAGTAAATATCTCCTAAATGGTGTACGTTTAGGAGATATTAACTGAGCCTACAGGTAAGCCTTATTATTATAGGAATGTCTATAAAGCCTTTAACTCAGAATGCAGTGTTTTTACATGGAAGACGTGAGCACTAATAATAGATGTGCCTTATATTTTGGTGAGGGTTTGTTTAAACAGCTAAACTATATTAGCACACCCTATTGAAGAGGTGGTATAAAAGTCTTGCCTGCTACCAAACCTGTGAATAAAGCAAGCAGGTCATTCTGCCACAATAGGCTAAAATAATGAAGGGATTACACTTGATCCCCTCCAATAACACATTGTACATTAATATATGTCAGCATTGATGTCCCTTGTGTGTTTCAGCATACAAAACAGCACTGGTAATAACTGGAAGTCCCACAACTCTGTAAAAAAACTCAATCTCTAAACTGCAATTATTTATTTCTGGCAATCATGTTCCCTCTGGGCATTTTTACTAGTAATATTAATAACATGCTAAATAGTGAAAACAGAACAACAAACGAAGATCTTCTACCTGCTGTCAGATATTTTTAGGAAACCAGACAGGATTCCATTCTGACTGATAATCACCCTATGTTTTGTATGTGACACACGGTAAACATAAATGTGTGCGCAGTAATTTTGTACACTGTTAACCATCTGTCAGAGATGTTAGAAAAAACCTAACAAGCTGCCAAATGTAAAAATAAACCCAAAGGAGAGCTTTACAATCGGCATAGACTGAAGCATAAAGTTAATTAAAGAATCGCCATGCATCAAGGAGCACTTTTCTTTGCTTTGATAAACAGACAATAATAAGTGTACATGCCAGAGATCAGACTGCTGGGACCTTGCCGCAAACAGCTCCAGATTAGATAGATTTAGAACATTCCTGGCTGTCCTCACCAGGTCTTCCTAATACCGCTGCACAGAGGTAAGAAATCATTTGAATTTTTTTAAGTGGCTTACTGTGTTTTGCTCAGATGTCATTATATTTTTAAATTAGGCAGTAGAGGATTCGTAAGCTTAACCACCTACTAAATACTAATCATTGCAACAAGTGCACATGCTTCTTTAAATTGCAAAATAAAAGCTTTTACATTTTTTATTAAGATTTTACCAATTGTAAGATGAAGTGACCTTCAGATGATGACTTTTCTATAGATAGGTCATTTATAGATTGACAATTGTTCTATACGCTTTTGCCATGAGGGTTTTGGTGCCCCTGAATTTCCACTAACAAGTGCTATCCATAAAGGATAAGTTTACCTTTTGCAACATGTTACACCAATATTCAGAGTGTAACATGCAACACGTTCCTGTAACACCGACCACTGCACCCCCCTGTTCCCCGTTGTGAAAGCTACAGCTATCGGGGAATCTTCTCCCCCTGCTAACTGTCACAATTTAAAAAAAAAGTAGCACCCGCCCATCTGTGCATGTCTATCAGTCTGTGAATGGGAATCTACAAGTCCAACAGCCTTTGCGGCTGTTGGTTTGTAGTTCTCAATGAACTACCATGGTGGTGCTGAAAGCTGTGGTAGTTTGTTGATTCTTCCTGTCAGTGTGAAACTGCCTGCACGTATGAGGTACGGACTGACAGCTCACACTGTCAGTCTGCAGGAGTCCTGCATAGCACCAGAGATCTGCTGATCGCTGGTGCAATGCTTTCTAGGCGCCTAAAAAAAAAATAGTAAATGCACATTTTTTTACCTGCAAAAAATGTGCATTTATTATCTTTTTTGAAAAGTGAACTTATACTTTAAGAACCCATTCTTACCATTTTACTGTGCATTGTGTTAAAGCTGAAATCCAGGATAAGTAGATGTTGTTTAAATAAGAGTGACATGTATTCTTCCTTAAATCTTGGGATGCACTTTGTATACCTCTGCATCATCTGTGCAGTAATCCAGTGTGAAACATTGCCTCTGTGCTGGAACTTCCTGTAATAAAGACCAGTCATTGCTGCTCTTTCTCATTGTGCACTGTGACTGGTCTTGTCTACGCACCCGTCTTCTTGTTTTTGCAGCCTGTAGTGGAAGGAGCCTGCTGGGTCCTTCCCACAGCCCTGCTATCTGCACAGGCTATGTACAGAAGAATGATGATGTCACTGCTACTTTCCAAAGGTAATATCTGGGTTTGCAAAGGCATCTGGTGCACACAAAGTGGATTTACATCTTTTGTGGCTATTGAGGGATATATTTAAATGAAAGGTTTTGTGTCTGAATTTCAGCTTTAAGGGAGCTTATTCATTTAGTATGAGCTTTATTTCTTTATTTATTTTTGTAATGCAGTATACTGAAACCCATGACATGTGCATTGTAGTGTGTAGCAGTGCAGGTGCATTGCCTGCTACTGTAACAGTGTGTTGTGGGTGGCATTCAGAATGAATGGCATAGCAACAAACCACCATCCAATGTACATGTTACCATACATTGTGGTAATGCGCAGTAAAACAAGTTAAAGATGTTCCTAAATTTATTTCCACTTCCAAAACCTCACATTTAATAAATATACAAGATTATTGAATACAAAGGTAAAGACCAGATAACACAACAATCACAGCCCAAAATATTAAAGGATATGACAGTGCATTCCTAACCTATAAACTCCCCACTATTTTTCAAATAGTTGTTCAAATTTATTTTTTAAATGGTCAGATATTGCTGGTTGGTGCAGTCCCAATAGATAATCAACACTAAAGGCTTCTTCTATCACTACTTCTATCTTAATCCTTAACCCCTAAAATAATACCTGCAGTTCTCAAGTGCTAAAAAGGGGATTATGTGCTACCCCCTTGAGGGTCACTGGCTTTGGATCCCCTTTATTACCTGCACAGCCAGGCAATCTTCATTTTCCACTTGTCTCTAGGCACAAAAAACAGTCCATGGGCTTGTTTTTTTAGTTTTATTACTGAATTTAACTTGGATAGGGTAAAGGATTTATGGGATGCTCAAATTGATTGCGGAATAACAGATTGAGAATACTTTCCTTCTCTAGAAAATACTACAAAAATGGCAGATGAGTGACTGTGTTCAAGCCGGGACCCTGACAGTCTGTAGCAAAGTAAGCAACTTGAAGGAGCTCTGATTCCCCTTGAATTAATTTTTAGCAAAGTCCCAGCTTGTAGGAGCTCTGAGTCCCCTAAGTGAATAAAATACCAGCCCACCTGGCTATAGTATCTGATCCCAGGACAACGGATTGGGTAAGTTATGAACTGTCCCCTGAAGACTTGCCAAAAACTTGTATCTAGCAGTCTTCTTTCTTACATGCCCTGGGAGCAGGGGCGGACTGACCATTTGGAAACTCGGGCACTGCCCGAGGGCCCGGGGTCAGTAGGGGGCCCCATGAGATGCCCCTGGTACCTTTTTCATAGGCTTTTATGAGTTTGGGCAAGGACTCAGGGGCCCCATGATCTCCTATTGCCCTGGGGACCCATAAGTTGTCAGTCCGCCCCTGCTTGGGAGTGTAGAGGTACTCACACTGTCCTTATCCTGCAGCTGTGGATAGAACTGCTTTCAGGGCTTTGTAGCTGGGCTGGTTCCTCTCCAAACTTTGCAGGCTGTCCTTCCCCAGTGGACTGCAGGGCAGTGGAGCTCCCTCCTTCAGCTCTCCTTTTTCCTCCAGCTTCCAGCCTGTTAGCAGAAAGTGATTCTCTGGGGCCCCCTCCCCGGCTACACAGCAGCACCTCTCAGCACTCTACCTGACTCCCCTTCTGGCCACGCTGTGTCATATGTATGGGCTGGTCTGCCACACTGACAGGCCTCCTACCTGGGATTGGAAAGACTTCCATAAATATGGAGATCAGCTCCTCCTCATCTCTGCCTACTGACTTCTAGAAGCTTCTCCAAACATCTAGAGCGGGGGGGGGGGGGGGTGGGGTACCAGAAGACTGACCTGTAGTAGAGCCCTCCAGCTTGAGCTAAAGTAAACCCTCTGACTAAACCCAGGCTTCTAGCAAGCCTCTAACTACTCTGACCAACTATGTACACCAGAGGGCGCTACAGGGACATACAGATAGCATAAGAGAAAAAGAGTAATGGAGATATAAGCTCTTCACTGTTCTTCTTTCACTGTCTAATCATAGGTTGAGGTAGGGACACAACCTGTAAATGTTACCCAACTGTGGAAAGCTGACCTTTTCCTAAAAGTATGCTTTTAATATATTTAACTCCAATATAGTTGCATTTTGTTCGATAAAGCAGGATCTGGTCAAGCAGTCACTTTTTTTTCTTTGTGTGTCCCATTGGGGAGATTTCCCTTGACTTCCTGTTTCTGAAGCAACAAAAAGTGGGAGAAAGTGGGAGAAAATATTTCCAAATATTTCCATTTCTCTCCTGTCTCAGAGACAATGCCCTTTGGAGAGCTTCTCCAAAGCTGATTTGGTCCAGTGAAACAGAGACATAAAGTGGTACAAATCAGTGCAGTTGGAGCAATGGCTCATGTAAGTGGCTTTTGTTGTTGTGGTTTAATAACTTTTTTAATGGTGCAGCTTTTTAATGTATTCAGTCTGGCTAATGAGTGAAAGTATCTGAGTGGGAAAAGATCTGAGAGTGGATGAGATTAAAAACAAGCTCTGTAAGGTTACTGCTTTCTAGTGAGTTCCCTTTTGCAGGTGGGAGAATCAAAAGATATCTGCTTTTGTGTGGTGGTTGTTTATAAAATATCACACAGTTTGAAACAGAAGAAGGATTTATTAATTGTGGAGTTTGTCTAAATAAGATTAAAGTCATGGCAATGGACACGTAGAAAGTATTGAGAAGATCATACTTTTCTACAATGTTTTGGAGATTGTGGGGTTGATTTACTAAAAACTGTGCAAAATCTGGTGATGTTCTGCATAGAAAGCAATCAGTTTCCAGGTTTTTTTTTTGTCAAAGCTTAATTGAACAAGCTGAAGTTAGAAGCTGATTGGCTACCATCACAGCAGCACCAGATTCCGCACTCTCTAGTATTAGTAAATCAACCCCTATACTGTATGTTACTCATGTATGTATGATTATATTTGTTATATATGTATCAATTTGGAGGATGTACTGCATCATTTTGATTATTCCTTTAATTTTAACATTGAATTATTTTCATAATTTTAATAAAATAAATAATAAAAAATTAAAAATGGAATTAGTAGTGGCCACTGGTCTTTTATTTCATATGATATTGGCAAGAGGGGAGAGGACAGGATGGGAGAAAAGGAAAGGCTTTGATGGACCAATTGTCACTACTGAACTAGAGGGAGGAAGCCTGCAGGACCATGGTAATATTCTCTAATACATCTTTCTAGAAAAGGGGTCTTCAAACTTTCTAAAGCCAATGTGGAAAATGTGCTGGAATAATGCCCCATTGTTGGTGTCAGTGGAAGGATTAGAACCCTATCTTTGGTGTTATTAGGAAGAAAAGTGCCTCATTGTTGGTGCTAGAGTTATTACCCCCCTTACCAGCATCAGTGAAAAGACTAGTGCCCCAAGGGCCAGATAAAGTCAAGCAAAGGGCCACACCTGCCCCCGGGCCACAGTTTGGGAGACCACTGCTCTAAAATAAATGAGCATTACATCCTAAATATATAGTGGGGCATTTAACATTTATGAACAAGGTTTAAACATCTGGAAAGACTTATAACCAATCCCAGTGACCTGGCACAAATCATATTGTTCATATACTGTTATAGCACCTAATCCTGGACTCCTATTTTGCAGCTTTAAAAAATGTAAAACATTTTAATTCAAAGCACATCTAAACTCAAAAATAAAAAAATCTAATATACTGCAGTCTTTAATAGTAATGGCAATCCTGTGAATAAAACTTTCTGTCCTAGGGTGGCTATTCTCAATGACTTCACTTGACTCCTAACCCTTCCTTCACTCATAATCTTCATTACTTAGGGAGGTAAACTGCTATGTATGTTTATGATATCATTTACGTGCACAGAAAGTTACCCTGAATTTCTATTAAGTGTAAGGTGGGCAGGCTAAAATGGTATTTACAGCAGTAAACCATTTATAGTTCCATAATTAGGTTGAAAAAAGGCACAGGTCCATCTGGTTCAACCAATAACATTAATAAGAAATAGAAAACTTCCATATACAGAAACCTATGCCCAGAGCTGATCCAGAGAAAGGCATAAAAAAATCTTAAAGCATGATGTAGTTTTCTCCACCAGGGGAAAACAAATTTCTTACTGATCCCCTAAGACAAATATATATTCCTTGGGTCACAAATCTCTGGAGTTATTTCTTGTAAATGTTAATTGCCAATTATATGTTGTTCATTTAGAATTGTAGACAGCATTTTTTTAAATAATCAACTGAACTGGCAAGAATTAGTTCCCACCGGAGTCTATTACACAATTTTCACAGTATCTACCATAAAGAAGATTTATGCGGAGGTTAACCATTTCACTGCCAGTAATAGCGGGGGGGAGGGGGGGTGTTAAAACACTACAGATTTACAATGTGTATAAATTCTGAGAAGGGAACTGTACAGCCACCTGATCACTTCCACATACCCTTAGTAGTGTGCCTTCTGACTGACCCCCCACTATGCTTCCTGGCCTCCACTGTCCAACTTGAGAGCCCCCATGGCTGGTGTTGCTGGGTAGAGGGGAGATAGACCAGTTACTACTGATGTTTCATCAAAGAGAACCTGCCATAGCATACAGGACTTTTGGTTCCCTATGTTATAAAATATTAAGTCTACAAATTAAAAAAAAAAACTTTACGTTACACCCAAGTACTTAAAACATTTTGTGCCCATCCTGCCCCATGTACATGCACATATGAACACACATGCATTGGGGGGGGGGGGGCACCTACTTATGAAAATGTTGATTGTGTTAAATTTAGCTGAGCATGCAAGAGTAAAAGCAATAATTGTAAGGCTATTATTCATGGTTAACGGTAAACTGATGGATAGTGTACTGTGTTTGTGTGCCCTAAAATGTACATACGTGTATTTTTTTTCCTGAAAATATGTGCTTGTTAACCCCCCTGGCAGTATTACCGAGTGTAGCTCAGGGTTAACTTTCAGTACCAAAAGTGGTAACCCCAAGCTACACTCGAGATTACCTTGCAGCGTTGCTCAGGGATTCCCTCCAGCACTTACCTTGTCCTTCGCTCCCGCGATGTCCCCCTGCAGCGTCCCCGGCCATCTCCTCCAGCCGATGCTAGCATCCGTCTTCCGGGTTCCGTTCCTTGTGTGTGTTGGGATGTACGGGACATACAGGGGACGGAACCGGAAATTAAAAAATGTTAAAAGTGACATTCACTCAATACACTAAAATCTCATAGTATAACATTACTGTATCAAACCATTTCACATACATTTTATTACTACTGCTTTGTCCTGTGCCTGCATTTTTTACTGTTCTTTCTTCCTGGAAACTGAGAAACGTCCATGGTGTCCAAAAAGCGTCCCTTTAGGTCAAAAACGATGTTAGACCAGCTAGAGAACAGCGATAGTAAATCAGAACCACTTGCAGAATTGAGTGATAATGATTCGTGGGGAAATTCATCATCAGACACTGAAAACGATTTTGCGACTAAGCTCAGTGATGTGTGATCTTGGCGCTCTATTTCAAATTTCAGTGTTTTTGGTTTTGATTACATTATTGAATTAAATTTATTATTATTATTTATGATTATTTATTATATTATAATTTATGATTTTGTGTTTCAAATTTGATCATATCCGGGATGTTTACTAGACTCTTGTTCGGACAGATTTCAGTGAGTTATTCCTAAGAATTACAGGCCTACAATAAAGAACATATTTCCATGCAAAACAATGTACCGCTTTGAGCACAGAAATATTGACATAATCAGACCGCTAGGGAGGGTAAACCACTACTATTACATAACATAAACATTCTGCAGCCATGCAAAATAAACAAACATATCTGAAGCCATGCCACATTGTATGGAATCCATTCACCGCTTGTGTGTTGTCAGTGAGAAAACTAAGTTCAATTTTCCAGGAAGTGAGGAGAGCCACTGTGGATCACAAAGCAGGATGTGATGTCATGCCTGGGGTGGGATGGTTGCTATTGCTTCCAAACAAATGTGGTGGACAGCTTCCATCAGGGGCGGACTGACAACTCATGGGGCCCCTGGGCAATAGGGGTTCATGGGGCCCCCGTGTCCTTGCCCAAACTCAAAAAGCTTATGAAAAAGGTACCAGGTGCATCTCATGGGGCCCCCTACTGACCCCGGGCCCTCGGGCAGTGCCCGAGTTTCCAAATGGTAAGTCTGCCCCTGGCTTTTATCCAATGTGGCATAGCTGCAAATAAGCTCTTTGTATTTATATTCCTGTGAGTTTGCATTTGGCTTCATAATCTTAATAAACCCCTTGGTGCTGCACTTAGCTGGCACCCCTTGTGTTCCTTTTTTTTAGGACCCAGAATAGGACTTTTTAAGATTCTGAAAAAAATATATTTTTTTCCCATATCAGTCATCAGCCATGGAGCCCCTCACCATGTGTGAGAAACTTAGCTGGCACATATACACATCCACAATCCTTCCAGCCAGTGCCTCACACAAGATAAACATTTTTTATTTTTTCTTAAGAACATATACTTAGCCTGAAAAATAAAAACGAACACAGCTATTGCAGCGAAGAACTGGAAAGTTGCAGTAAATTAGATTTTTGCTTTTGGGTTTAGATATCCTTAATTCTGAAAATTAAAAACTTTAAAATCTAAAAGTGCTGAACTCATGAATACCATTGGTGAACCAGACACAATTTTAAAAAGAGGTTTAATTTTCAACCCCAATTGCATGCAAGGAAAATAGAAAGAAAACAGCACTTTTCCTTGTACATGATTGAATTCTGGACTAGTGTCCATAATTTCTCTTGTTCAGTAAGCTCTGGAGAAAATTCCCATACACAGTGCAACATCTCTTGCACTCTATTTGTATTTAGTAAATCAACCCCAGAATGTCTTTAAATAATAACAATAAAGAATTCATATTTTGTTGATTCTGGGGGTATTTTTTGGACTTCATTACATATATATGCATATATAGAGTGCTCTTCATCTGTCAGCATAAAAATCAACTATTCTTATTGCAACTTGCCATGGTATTAACCTCAGGCATTCCAAACGTTATAACAGCTGTTTTCCACAATTTTCAGGAATCATTTTGTAAAGTATAAATGCCACAAGCATAGAACAACTTGGCATAAGAAGAGCTACTGACAAACATCTAAACTGGGAAGTAGTCCATTATTCTGCATACAGCCGCTTTGAGCATCCAACAACATTTCCTTTGTGACAAAGCCTATGAGGAAAGTAGCTCTCATAAAAACAAGATCTGACTCTAGGAAAATGTCCTCTGCTTACTTTTATAGTGAAATTATTCGTCAATACCCCTCAGCTGTGTTATCACGTGAATTCATGTATGAATATTTTGTAACATTGCTTTCTGAGTAAACAAATAAAAAGTTATCACATCACTTTTGACTCTGCACTATAGGACTTAATTCACAAAACTGTAACACACAAAAGGGTCCCCAGCTACCAAATTAAAGATTTTATTTCTAGTGTTCTAGTATTGTGATTTAGGTCTAATTTATATCACAACTATTAAAAAACCTTAGGAAAGTGAATGAGCACAAGACAAGTGTATTGTAGTTCATCTAGGTTCCCATAATAACTATTACCTATTTCCTTGTTGCTCCTTCACCCTCAATCATAATTATGAATCACACCAGGGGCTGAATTTTAGTGGCCACAGCATTTTTGTTATTTAACCACTTGCCCTCCAGAGGATTTACCACCCTCTCTCCCCCTTTCTGACCAGGCCATTTTTTTGTGAAACGGTGCTGTGTTAATTTAACTGACAATTGCGCAGTCATGTAACGATGTACATAAATGAAATTTATGCCCTTTTTTCAAATAGAGCTTTCTTTCAGTGGTATTTGATCACCTGTGCGTTTTTTTTTATTTTTTGTGCTATAAACAAAAAAAAAGACTGACAATTTTGAAAAGAAAAAAAAACAATATTTTTCACTTTTTGCTAAAAGACAGATCTAGTAAAAAATTTTAAAAAATCTAATTTTGTCATAAATTTAGGCCAAAATGTATTCTGCTACATGTCTTTGCTACAAAAAAATCCCAATACGTGTAAATTAATTGGTTTACATGAAAGTTATAATATCTACAAATGGCTGTATATTTTAACTTTTTTTTACCAGTAATGGCGGCGATCAGCGACTTATTGCAGGACTGCGGTGGGCATTTTAACACTGGGGGGGGGGGGGGGAACTGACTAACTGCCACTGACATCCCAGTGACACTAATACAGTGATCAGTGCTAATAAAAACCAATGACACTTTTCCTCCCTCTGAATTTTGACGATTCACTGCTCCTCCCTTAACATTTTTTTCTTTAGTCTCACCCTATGATGGTCCTACGTGCCATTTCCTATACTGGTCTGGTCCCGAACTACCCTTCTCTTCTGGAAGTCCCACACCCCCTCTCCCCTCCTTGGTTCCCTTTCTTGGTCTCCTTTATTCTTTCCTTCCTCTTTCCAACCTGCTCCCATTTTTTTTTCTTCCTTCACTTTGCATGGAACCTTTAGGTAGCTCTGAGGCGCAGTACACCCTAGTTAAACCATAACCATGCTTTACCCCCCTTTGTATTGCATTTTTCCCAAATGTTTCATTGTGATTCCCAGTTGTATGTTTTCACATGACACTTTTCTCCTTGCCTTTGGGCAACATGTTCTCCAATACTTCTGTATATGTATTTACATGTTCTAAGCTTGTTTATAGCTTGGAAAATCAATAAAATGTTTGAACAAGAAGAAACAATGACACTGTACTAATGACACAGGGCAGGAAGGGGTTAACATCTGGGGCGATCGAAGGGTTAACTGTGCGCTGTGTGTGTTTTACTATGTAGACAAGCTGCTTTGTATTGCTCTGCTATGCAGAGCAATACAAAGCAGCCTGATTGTGCTGATAGGGGAAAGATCTGTGCTGTTTACATACAGACCTCTCCCTTGTCAGCTCCGCCAACGATCACCGTCGAGAATCGGCAGCTGGGACCAGGTGCTGGGGAGCCAACGGTGGCGTGGGTAGGGAGCGTGCACGCCCCCCTACCCAGAAATGCAAATCACGTATATAGACACATGATTTTGCACATCCCTGCCGTCCTGTAGTAGTACTTCTGCTGTAGGGCAGTTGGGAAGCAGTTAAACAATGCCCAAAAATACAAATGTATTAAACAAATAATATTATTAGAGGAATGGCATAGTACAAAACACATATAATGCGCATACAAAAAAGGGCTCCCAATTGCCAAAACACATGTAGTACTACCCCCAGAGGAGCTGCCGAATTGTCTTGTGATTTCTCTGCACACTCACTGCTGGGTGAGTGAGATGACATCTCACTCACCCAGCACTTACCAACACACCTTGCTATACTTTTCAAAAAGGCCAAACATAGCCTAAATGAAGATCAATAAGACAATAACAATACTCTAAGAGATGTGGTTAAACATCTGCCATTATTCTAATCAGTAATGAACAGAAATGAATTGTTTTCACCTAGCAACAGAATAGTAAGACAGTCCTACCTTGCTTTAACAGTTCCTGTTTTCTCCCACTGGCCAGTGAATGATGAAATAGGAAAAAAAATGCTAGCTGGAAAAGTTAGGTTCTCAGCAGACAACAGATTAACTTGTGCAATGTTAGTCTTTTACCAGACCCAGGGCACTCTGTTCTGGGTCTCAGGACATGTGCTCTGATTCAGTACAAGATCTCAGACAGAAATAGGAATTGCTGTGATTTCTCTACTGAGACAGTCCCTCTTGCTGAGACAGTCCCTCTTTTCCTTCCTTACATGTAGTGGGAGTGCTCTGTAGTAGGTTGATCTCACCAGGCATCCAAATCATACCTTCCCAGGGAGAAAGTTCTCACCTCAGATGCATGGTCATGTGTGAAGAGCAGTCTTTCTGAGGTCTCACCTGATTGTCTTCAGCTATGGCAGGGTTCCATTTAGCCAGTAGTCCAGTCTCTCTTTTCAGCCAGCAGTCCAATCTCTTTTTCTCACCCCATCAACGTTAAGACTTTCCTCTCTCTTTCTCTCAGCAGCCTGCCGACCACCTCTCCTTGCTTTATTGGGGCAGCCAATCACCGTCCTTCCAGGATTGACCCAGAGCCATCCAAAATGGCTTACCCCTGCACTACTAGACACATTTCACAGATGAGAATTGGAAAGTGGTCTCCTTAAAGATGACTGCTGAACATCTGGATTAATAAATATTCAGTTTAATCCTGTCCACACCGCAGAAGGATAAAATCAGCAACAAAGGAAGAAGTTACAGTCCAGGTTATACACAAAGTTTCTAATATTTCACTATAAGCA